TTAATTGATCTCTATACAATTGCAACTTACAGATTGATCTTTAAGTTGTTCGTTTGTTGAAATGTAGAGTGTAATTGCAAAAATTCATTAACTGATGAATTTTGAAATTGACATTGTATAAGTCATTTTTCAATTTGTATTCGGTTTGATTCTCATTTTAATTTGAATTTCAAATTTCGAACGTGTCGAATATTTTGCAACAGTCATCTTCAACAGTCAATACGCTAGAGCTTTTCTTTTGTTTTCCGACTTCCCCATAATTTGGCTAATTTGAGGCCTTTAAATTTTATAATATTCAATTGATCAGAAATAAACAAAAAATACTAATAAGAAACAAATTGATGTTTTACTGTTACCCAAGATGATCAATCTTTTTCCATGATCATGGCGTTTTCGACATCAAAGATGATGATACCTAACTTAACGATGAGTAGAAACATTGAACCTTGAAATATAATCAGAATATTTACTCTAAAACAATTTTAAAACCTCAAGTTACCGCCTGAATCGTCCCATTTTACGGCGATTCGACAAATACTTTTAAAGCTTAGTGTGGATACGACTGTAAAATTTGAATTCGAAGTAAAAAGTTGATCACGTTGTGTATATAAGCGCATGTTATCACAATTAAAAAGAAGTTTTATAATAGGTTTAATTTTTTAATTATATTATTATCACTCGCTGAAAAATGAAAGTAAGAAACATAGAAAGAAAGGTGAGTATTTTTTTAAGTTCTCTTTATAAAATTTATTTAAAATCAATCCACTCTATTCTTTCGTCCGTCGCTACCGGAGAGATTCGTTTTACAAACAATATAAATAATAGTGGTTAACGAATGGCTACAGTCCGCGTCGCGAACCCGTCTCGGCATTACCTTGCGCTGTGTCTTTAACAATAAGTAATGTTCTCATCATGAGGAGTTCGAGCTCTTTCAGCACTGAAATGATCATTACATATCTTCTATTTTTACTTTTCACTTATTCTTCTTCATTTAGTATTGGCTCTACAAGTGATAAACGAGTTGTGAATAAACGTCAAGCAAATGGGAATTTGTTTCCGGATTGGGTCCCGTTCAAGAACAAACACGGCGCCGAATTGGGTGAGTTTGTTGACGTTGTAAAGAAAAAGCCCAAAAAGAGATTGGCGTTACCAACTAATTTTGTGCTGAAACCACAGGGTGAACAAGAAGTAGATGAATATCACGATAAGGAGGAAGGTGGTGGTGATGATTATTTTGATAAAAAGGAATGGTCCGCTACTGGAACCTCTGACCCTCATCCGGAAAGCAGTGAAGCTAATAAACCCGAAGTGGATAAAACAGATCCCGCTAAGCTGGCAGATATCGACGGAATAGTCAATATAATAACTAAACAGGAAGCGCACCCCATACAGTCTGAAGATAAAATAAAATTTGAAAGTGTAGAAGATAAAAGTAGTGAGAACAAAAAGGAAAGCGAAGAGTTGAAAGAACTAGACGACGTGAAGGAAGAAAAACATGAGGGCGCAAGTGATAGCAAAGTGGCAAACACAGATACCAAAAAGTACGATGACTATGATTATGAAGAAAAAGAAAAAACGAGCAAAGAAAAATTGGATCAAAGCGAATCGGAGGCAAAGAAAGCTAAAATTTTAGACAGCGTCGATGAATTAAAGGAACGCCACGCGGAAGAACAAAGACAAATATCGGAAAAAATAAAAGAAGAAGAATTATTTAAAGACGAACAAGAGAGAAACTTGGAACGATTTCCTCGTCGGGAATACGATAAATACGACCTCAAGGAGCCTGAATGGCGGAAAGGAAGTTCCGAGTACGATGAATACGACGAAAAATTGTTAGATGTAAGAGATAAGTACAAAATAGTCGCAAAGAAATCTGTAGTAACAACTCCAAAGCCCAAAGCAGTGGAGCAACCGCCTCCAATTAATAAAATTTCCTTGTTTTCAAACCCTAATGCATTCTTGATAAGAGATTATGAGGAGAGCGAAGAGAAACCGACTACAGGTAAACCTAAGCGAAATAAAAATGCAAAAGATGAGACATCACAAAAGTTCTCTTCTCGGTATCTTGAAGCAGATCCAAAGGATAAAGGTCGCGTAAGAATATCATTAGTGCCAGAGGAGAAAGACTCAAAGGAGGGTGAACCGACTTTATTCTTCCCGAAAAAGAGGTTAGGCCGTCGGTTTCAGGAGGACATAACACCGGAGACAACACAGACCGAGGCTCACACGACTCCACATATAACGACGACAACACCAACGACAATTACAACTCTAGATGCAGAAACAACTGCCTTTGAAACTGAGTCCACGGTAGCTGACTCCGTGCCGTCGGCTGCGGATACCGC